TTTAGAACAGCAAGCTGAGAGAGGGCATGGATTGCTTATGAGGATCCTTGATACACTTGCAAATCTCCTGATTTGTTAATGAGAGGTGCAGATTTACACTTTTCTTCATGCATTGAACACAAAAGTGTTTAGGAATAGTAGCTGTTGCAAAAGGCACAAAACAAAAGAGTGATCAGAATGATCAGAACTAACTCAGGGAGAACTTGGTATCATCCAGCTGCACTGGGAGGAAAAGAAAATGAAAAAACAATCACTGAATTCAATACAGAATGGGCTTTTTTTAAGATTTAGATTTAGATTAGGCTCTTGAAATAACAGTTTATAATAATGCGGGCAAAATAAGACTCAAATAGCTCCATTTTTCAATCAGTCTTTCTTGTGGCTTTGCTTGGATTTCTTTGTTTGTAAACAGTATTAAAGAATGGATGAACTGGTACTTAGTTGTGAGAGGCAGAGAGGCTTTTGGTAATACAATAGAAAAAAATATGTGTAAAGAGCAGCTGATTTACCTGGAAAGCTGCAAGTACAATGGATTAGAGTAATGGAATCATCACTAAATCTCCTTGTGTGTAGTGAATTACTTAGTTCCTGTATTGCAAACACTCATTTTAGCCACCTGTGCAGTAAACCCCAGCCCTGGATATTGAGTTGGTTCATTCCTGCCACTGGAAATGCTTCTGTGCTTCCCCTGGCTGTGAGGGCAGCAGATGGGTGCTGTGAGAACTCAGCACCACTGGCCTTTCCCAGCTCTCCTAAGAGCTTTTTGTGAGGCTGGGCTTCCTTGGGATTCCTGGAGTGAGGGGAACATTGTCCCCCCCATGCCTCACCTTGTTGTGTCCCAGGGCAAACCCCCAATAAGCAACGTCTCTCCTCTTCTTTTTTTTTGTAATTTCCCCCCAAAATTCTTGGGGAATGTGAAAAACACTTATCACTTGTTTTTAAAATTTTAAAAGTTTAATAGTAATAAGATGGTTATAAAAAATGGTGATGCAATTAGAGTAATAATAATTTGGAAAAATTGAATTAGGGCAATATGAGACAATAGAGACAAAGAGTTATGGACAGTCCGGGTACCTTTTCTGGGCAGCACCAGCCTGAAAAAGAACCCATGTTAACAGAGGATTAACTCTTAAAAACAACAGCTTGTTGCATAATCATACACTTCATACATGATGCATAAATTCCATTCAAACACAGGATTCTGTCTGGTCATCATCAACTTCCTCCAAATCCTAACAGCGCCTTCGAGGCAGGAAGAAGTTCATTTCTGCTGATAATGGGGCAATAAATTCTCTTTCTCTGAAAGATACAGGTGTCCTGTGGCTGCCATCTCACTGAGAGTTCTTTCTTTTAAAATGCATCCTACATAGCACAGTTTCTATTTTAACCTTTTTTTTATAACCTAAAACTATATTTAACGCACTACTTAGGAGAATTAATACAGCATTACTTTCTAACACAACACATCTAATATTCATTTTAGTATTTGTGAAAAGCCAATCATAAAATACATGCATTTTTCACGGGGAATAAATGCCAGCACTGAAAATTGGAAACTTGAGGTCCATGAGCCAAGGTATTCATGCCCTGTGTATGGTGAGGTGGTGCATTGTAGGCTCAGGTTCTCTGTCATGGTACAGAAACTTTAAACCATTGCCAGGAAAGCTTTCTAGAAGTTTCATCTTCTTCCTTTGACAGGAGAGAGCCGGGCCCATAATCCAGCCTTGCACCATTGTTAATTTTACACCAACAACATGATTTTAGCTAATGGTATATGGTTTTTTTCTGCAGAAAATGTTTTTTCAATTTATACTTCCTAAAACAATGCCATGAGATGTTCCAGCTAATTGTGTAAATTCTTTTCAGCTAATTGCAGATTTGTATTTCTGAGCTTCCTGTAGTACTGGCTGCACAGTGGTTCCAGTTAAAAGCTATTTTTAACAGCAGGGGTTTAAAAATCCTGTATAATTTAGTGGGCGAGTCTACATGTTGATCCTTGGTGTTACTTCTTGGATCTTTGAGGATTGGAGAAATGCAGTGAATTTTTTAGCTGTTTTACATGAGGCAGTGAGTACTCTGTGCAGCACCATTGGTATTTCTGGAGATTAGTTTATCTGCACCATGTAAATAACTGTACACAAAAAACTTATTTTTGAAAGTATTAAAAAAAAAATAGGAGAAATGCATTTAGTCAGAGATCTTGAAACCACTGGGAACTGAATTTTAAGTGTTCTAAAAATATTAATGACTGCACATCACTTTTTTTCCACAGTCCTGAATATTTTTAGAGTAATTATTTCTCAAAATAACTGTGGTGCTTCAGCAAAGGACCTCATCAAACAGCACGTTCTTAATCATGGGCTGGAGGAGAAAAGAGTGGAGGAAGAGAAGGATGAGTGGGGATAGGCTTTGATCGTGGGACACCTGGTTTTTGTCCCTTCCAGGGTCTCTGCAATGTCCCTGACCCCAGGCTGCTCCCCTCAGTGTCCCCTCTGCCACTGCTCCGTCAAAACTTTATATTAAAATCCTCTTTCATAAAGAAAAAATCCCAAATCCTTTATTCCATCACAATAGATTTAGTGTTCTGGAGGAAAAATAATATTTTTTTTTTCCCCATTGGGGAATTTGTAGATTGTTTCTGTGTTCTGAGGTTTATCCAAAATCTTACTGTCAATATTCAGTCTTCCCTCACTTGTATGAATTGCAATTGAAATGCTTTTAATACCAAAATTAGATGCAGAAGAAATAATCTTTTCTTACTAAAGTAGATTAAAAAGTTCCGTATTTTTTCCTAACGAAATCTAATAATAATGTTTTAGTTATCAGTATTAATATTATGTACAAATTCAAAGGCAGATTGTCAAAATATAATTAGAAGGCTCTGTGCAAGAAATTAAATACACTCTAGTAGCAGAGATGAAAAAAAAGCATCTGTTTTGAAGTACTTTAATTAGAAATTAGATGACTAGAGTAGGGAAAATAGGATTTGTATGAGATGAAATCAGAAAAAATATAAGATTATTAGCTGCAAAGAGTAGGAAAATACCTATGGAGCATGAAGGAAGCCAAGTGTTATCTAGGATTTATGGTGAATAATGTAAATAAACTGTAACCTTTGACTTCTAAAAATCTTTTGCTATGTTTTGTAGACATACTTGAATTCATTATAGTTATTCTTAAAACCTAATGGAAATAAGTGATTTTCCTCATGTGTTTCTCTCAGCCAGATGAATGCTTCTGGCTCTTCAGCTCACTTTCACTTGCAGGCTTCTGCACTAGCTCAGGTTTGAAAGCATCTGTGGTGTTAAATTCTCCCATATTCCAATATCTCCATTCCTGAGGTCAAACAAGCGTGTGGATAGGGCTTACTTATTTATTTATTTTATATTTTGTAATTAGGATCTCAATGGCTGCATGTTCATTTGCCAGCTACCACACAAGGGCTGAAGGCTGAGAGAGATATTAATACAGTCAGTGATGTGTTGCCTTAAAGTAAGGGGGAAAAGGAGCTTGTTTTCTATTTTATCTTTTATATTAGTTGTGAAAAACAGTAAGCATCTCTAAATCCTGTTAGTTAAGGGTGTCTGAGAAGGTTAGAAGCATAGTAATTAATGAGATTTCCAGTAGTCACAGTCTTAGTTAAACTGCATAAATTACAAGAATTTTTTTATTACTCTTCAGCATTTCCAATATTTGTCCTTCAAGTGACAGCTGCAAGCAACAAACAGAGAACTGGTTAATGGCAGAAATTTTTAAAAATATATTTTAAGAGAACTCTGGCCTAGTGAATGAAAATTGAGAATTGCTTCTGTATACTGTGGAAAATGTGCCTACCATTTGTACTTAATCCTGTCCTTCCAAACTCATTGGACTCAACTCAGTGCAATTCCATTGCATGTCAATGCACAATGTCTAAAGTTTCTGTCAAATCTCCAGAAAGATTTGATGGGTTGGAATTGTGTGATTCACAGATCCTGACAGCTTGAGGCATGTCAGTGTATGTGTGTATAAAATCCTGTGTGTGTGTGTATACAGATATATGCACATATATCTGCAAAACCAGATGTCTCATATCCCACTTCTCCTGGTGGACTGTATTCCAGAAGTGAAGAAGTTTCTTTCCTAGTTTGAAAGTACAATGTTCAATCTGCATTCAGCTAAGTCTGCTAAAGTACAATTTTAAGAAAATCTGATGAGTTTTATTTAAGTTTATTTAAAAGAAAAAAAAGGAAATAAGGAACCTTAAATTTGTGTCGTTTGTTCGAAATGGGCATTGCGAAAGTGTTGGTTTAAATGGATTTGGCTATTGCTTTTATTTTTATTCCTTGGGGGAAAAAAAATGTTCTATCTGGTTTTTTTTCTTAATCCTGAACCCAGATTATTTACTGGAAAGCAATATATTTGCGCAAATAAATTTGTGCATCCCTCTGAGCAAAAATTGCTGCACTCAGATGTGTCAGCCATCACTCAGCGACAACGGGAGCGATGGAACCCAGGTCCTCCTGGCCTGGTGTCCATGATGGGAATGCTGCATGTGATTTTCCTGCTGTGCTGGCTCCAGGAGCCTCATTGCAGCCGGGGGCTGAGGAGGCAGGGTGGGCAGGGTGGGCTGGGGCAGCAGTTTTGGGGGAAGCAGGGTGTGACAGGGACAGAGAGCAGCCAGTGCGGCTCGCGGTCCCCGCGCGATAACAGCAGCGTTGGGGGCATGTCTCTGTTCTGCTTTTCCAATGTCAAACTGGGGTTGTTTGGGCTCTTGCTGCTTTGAAATCAAAGCAGAAAAGGAGCTTCTTTCCCTTTTTTTTTCTTTTTTCTTTTTTTTCTTTTTTTTGTGTGTTTTTTTTTTTTTTTTTTTTAAGTAAAAAGTGCAAAAAGCGTCCCCCGGTTCAGTTTCAGTGCGCCATTCCGGTTGTGCCTTCCTTGATTTGTGTTTTGGGATGAAAAACTGAGGTTCAGTTGAAGTGCTCCAAAACCAGATACCACTCTCTCTCTCTTTCTTGTAGGCAGGGTGCTGCTGTGCCAGGCAAACCAGGAGGGATCTCCCGTGTACAGTGCCCCCAGTTCACTAGTATACACATCCACAAGTAAGCTAGTGTTATGGCTCGTTTCTTGTTCTGTTTTTGTGACAAAAGCACATTATTGTGAATTAAGCCCCCTTAAAAATGTCAACTTTCCCAACAGCCCTTGTTAAGGTAAATGTGGTGTTTATAAACATATGTAAGTCATGTCAACAGGTAATTCAGTGTTTTAAGTTGCATCTTTATTCTCAAAGTATATTCTATTTTTTAAAAAAATGAAAAAGCAGCCTATATTGCAATATTGTATAGAAATGGTCAAAAGTTCTGCAATAACAGTGACAATCCAGTACTGCTGTGTGCTCTGCATTTTGTGTAGAAGATATTGTGTTTCTTCTGTCCTGCTCACAATTGTGATTTAATACAGAAAACGTCTGTTGCTATGCCACCATTTGATTGGGTCAGGAATTAGATATGAAATCTTTTTTTACAAAAGGAGCAGTCTGTACGAAAGGGGGTATTTTGAGGCATAAAAAGCTGCCCTAGTATAAAGAACAGAGACAAGCTGACATGGTGGATGCTGCCATCAGCCATTTTGCTGTACAAAACTTTGGAGTAGAGACGTGTCCTCTGAAATTCTGAGCAGAAAACACTTTTCTGAGAGTGTTTTAGGCTGGATTGGTGATACCACTGATTCTCATTCTGGCCTCTAGTGGGGTGAGAAACGTGGAGCTGAATGCAGGAGCAGTAACTGCTGCTTGCAGCAGCCCTGGCTCTGTGTTCATTGTAAAGAAAATACATGCTCTGATTTAACAGCATTATCAGATATGCTCTTTATGAAGATTATATTCAATCTAGAATGCAATTCTACTCTCTTAGAGCTTATCTAGACTGCTAAAATAATTATTTTTTAAATTAAACCCAAGAATTAGGACAAAAGAGTTCCATAGTGATCATCTCTACAGTCATGTAATTCTTTTATGTCAAACATTATCAGTGGCATCCCTAGAGCTGCTGCTTTTCCAGAATTCATATGGGATCCCCTTTAAATGACGAGTCTGGAGCCTACAAATCCATAGTGAACTAACCAAATGCATCAAGTGTTTTCAATTGCAAATTAAATTGTCAGTTAAGTCTGCATTTTCTTCCAGGTGCTCCAAGAATATTTTCTCATATGTCACCTTTCCCTAGCAGTGGGGATTTTTTACAAATTTTTTACACAGAGATATGAAATACTTACAGTTTAAAATAATGCTCCCTTTTGGAAAGTTTTCGTGCACTCCTTTTTGACTGACAATTGTTTTCCTGGAAAATGATCCAAACATTTTACTCATCTCACTATTAGGAGCCTCTTTTTAGAGAAGAGTGTTTGTTATAATTTTCTGAAATTTGGTCTTCTTTGAAAGCTTTCCCTAAGTTCACGCTGTTGCTCCTCTTGTCTCACTGAGTTGTATCCCAGGAATTTTATTTCTGGGATAGTTGTTTCCATCAGATGATATTTCCACTAATATTGATTCCCCAAAGAGACCCTGTGAGCAAACTGAGCTCTGGGTTCACTGTTTCCTTTGTGTCTCCTGAGTCAGTCCTGTTGAAAAATCTTATTTTGCAGTGGTGCTCCTTGAATAATGATATCCTAACAAACACCTGTTTGTTTTCAATTATGCCAAATACATAAATAAACAAGCTTTGCCTATCTGTCTCCCACTGGGCAATGTGGAATACACAGTTTCACAACAGGCATTGCTGGTAGCCCTTGCAGTAGAAATTATTACACTTCTGTTGAATCTGTGTGTTGGCAAGTCATGATTTTTCCTTTATTATGTATAGAATTTCCTCTTGCCAAAATGCAGTTTCCCCTACAGGGTCACAACTCCTAATAACACAAAATTACTCCAATTACTGCATATTGTAATTAGGTTTTTATTCCTCCTTATTACAAAACTTTCAATAAAGATGTAAAATAGCTTCATTTCTATAGGAAATTCCCCCAGAAATAGTGAATAGAAATGAAGGTTGACTTTTGTCTCATTTCTTTTATTAGTTTAAAGATCTTCTATATTCCATTTTAGTGCACATTTGTAATATTGAAATTATAACTGATAAGTCAACATTAGTGTCTAGGAGATGAATACTTGTACTATTATCATTCCATGTAGACAACAATATTTTAGCCTTCCTTTTTGAATAATTTGTTAATCGTTTATTCTGTTACTGCTGATATTGTAACTGCGATATTTTACAACCACTTACAATGGAAGAATTAAGAGGTTTTCAATTTGTAATTGTTTTAACAGAAGGGAAAGAGTCTGCTGGGATTTTTCAAAAGCCATCTAAGATACTTGCATTTCACAGAGTGCTAATGGCATTTAGGAGTTTTCAGATATTTGGAAGAGGATACTTTATATTTTTCCAAGTGTTGTCTAACTTGACTGTTCATCTTTCGCTCCTGAGTTATAAGGCATGAAGGGCTGGAATATGGTTGAAAGATGTATTTTTCTTAATTTGGCTGGCTTGGTTTCTCATTGAACTTGTTGGTTTGTAGTTGTACTGGCCACTGGTAGCCCCCAATGGCTCTGAGCACTTTTAGCCACTGGCTCTCCAGAAAGCAAACTGCAATTCCTGGAGCTACTCTTTCCCTTCTGATAATTTATTTCTCCAGGATATATTTTATGTATCACACTATGCATATCCCAGCACAATGATTAGTTACACCTCTGCATATGTCAGGAGGTGGAAACATGGCTCTGCTTCCTTCCATCACTTCTGGCCCTTCACGTAATACAGAAAGAAATGAGCTGTTTCTTCTGCAAGCAGTGGAACAAATCAGCAGCAATAGTCTCTCATGCCTCATCTGTTCTCTTATGCTGAAGGAGAAGATGGGACCTGGATCAGTTTTTCATTTGCACACCTATTGTTGGAATAGGTAATTTTTTATATAGAAAGCAGAGTTCCAGCATGCCAATGTGCTCCTATCCCTGGGCTGGGCAGGTCCTGTGACAACCAGGGGCAGGAAATCCAGGCAGAAAACCTTGGTTGCTGTAGATTCCCACAGGACTGGCATCTCCAGGGCAGAACTGATGCAACAGATTTCAATTAAATGCTTCATCATCGCCATAATGCAGAATCCAATCTATCCAGCCAGGAATGATTGGAGTTCACCAAATCCCAGTGAGTCAGCACTCACTGGATTCTTCCTAGAGGCCCAGGCTATCTCCCTGAAAATAAATGAAACAATTTGGCTGCTCATAACTGACAATCTCTTTTTACCCTCACTTCTTTAGAATAGTTACTTCCAAAGGAATTTTAAAATCCTGAAGAAATTTGTATCTATTGATAAATAAGAAGTGTGTCAAGGATGTTTTTGGAAGTTTTCCAAATTGAAGCCACACATGAGTAGGATGCATTAGAAAATTAAGACCCTGCTGGACAAAAGGAAGATTCAAAAGAAGAAAAAAATATTTTTGTCCCTGACTGTCTGTATCACTGTTCTGCCAAGGACAGTAACACAGCTGGGTATGTATGGATCAAAGAGACAAAAATACAAGTCTGAATTTATTTGCAAGAACTTTAAAAACTGTTTTATGTGCATTTTCCCCAATTTCTCTATAATGTAGAAGTGCCTGACAATGTGAATGAAGCAGGAGCTCATGAGAGCCAAAGCATGAGCAAGAAGGAAGATGTGAAATTGTAGAATTGTCAAGTTATTCAGGTTGGAAGAACCTGGTTGCACCAGAACACCTCTAAGGATGGAGATTGCACAATTTCAGGGGATCACATGTTCCAATGACTGAATGTCCTGGCAGTGGAAACCTCTCTGGTTGCACGTCACATTTATTGTCCCTTTTCTTCCCAGCGTGTGCCTGGCTCTGTCCCCTGATAATGTCCCTGTCCTTGGTGGCAGGGCATGGAAGAGGAGACACATTTCCGGTAGAAATCCTCCTGCTCTGGACTGGCTCACCCAGCCCTGGCTGGTGTGGTGAGGCAGCAGCTCCCAGCTGTGCATCCCCCTTTCCAGCTGTGCATCCCTTCCAGCTGTGCGTCCTCTCCCTCAGCAATGTCCAGTTGTCCCTACCCAGGCCTTGTGGAGGGCAATGAGAGAGATGGAATTTAAAATTTAAAGGGAAGTTCAAAGGCAGCTAAACATTTTTTTTTTTACTCTCTAAATCAGCACTTTGATCTCTGAAACTTTTAGACTTTATTTTAGCTCCAAGTAAGTATTAAGATACTCGAGTTATTGAGTGTGTAGCTACTAGTGGATTTTTCTGAGCATATATTGAAGGGATCCTTTGCTGTTAGCTACATGGGTAGCTCACATTTATGATAAAATATTTTAAGTTTCTCCATGCCTTTGTTCAGAATGATGTGCAGATGAACATCTCTATTTCCCAAATGTGTAGCATGCCCATAAAAGTGAATTTTGCCTTGACTTCAATGAGTACATTTTAAACGGAAGTCAATTTTGGCTTAGATTTCCTAAATGTTAGAGCTGTTTCATCTTCAGTAAGTCTGCTTATCAGCTCCTAAATAAATCTTTCATACTGCAGTCAAGTGATAGAATTAAAAGAAGAAAAATATGAAAATGCAAAATCCGATATTAATTCGTTTTATTTTATCATACTCAAGGGCAAATGAAGTTGATGGCCCATTTTTTAATTGATATATTGATTACAGTTTTGGAAGAAGTGGTGGTGGAATTCAGCAAAAATGATTGAGGTGGTACAAATGCTTATAAATCTGTCCCACATCGTTCGTGTTCTTTAATTGTAATTGTCTGATAAAACTTCCATCGGTTTCTGTAATTAACCTAATGGTCTAAATGAATTTCCAGATCACTGGTTATTCATTTCAATATAGAAAATGCCATTACACTGAGTTTAATTAATACTAAGTAAGTTCACAGTCCATTGTACCATTAGAATAGAATTTTATTGTTTTAACTGTTTAAATTATGAATATTATTTCCTCTCATCTTGTTTGTCCCATTTATGAACTTGAGTGTTCATTTTCTATTCATACTAAAATAGCATAAATTCCCTATAATTAAAATATTTAAAACCCAATGCTCTTCG